GCCATAAGCACCACCGACCATGATGTTGTAATATGGACTTGTAGGCAGAACAGCTTGAGATCTGGAAGGAATGAGGTCTAACGTCTGGTCTTCATCAAACCTGTACAATGTCTATCATACCAACATAAATTGACTCTTCTAGATAGAACAGGAAGTGGTTTTCCTCAAACACGTTAGTCCAATCAGACCCTTTAGTTTCCAACATTTAAGGAGAACAATGGCAACAACCTTCATCACGAGCAACAGTTTATACAGCTTAGTGATTTTTTTTTTATACCCATGCAACACCCCAAGCATGTTTATCTCCACTGTTCCACCAAGATGTGCAGTTAGATATGTAAAGAAAAATTGCAGTTCCACTTTCTGAGATATAGGTTTTGGGACAATCGGAACATTTAAGTATGAGTGGTAATGTATATTGCAAGGACATACAGGTACTTGGTTACAGCTATGTGCCTAATAAGATGTAATTTGAAACACATTCATGGTATGCCTTTTCCTAAAAATGTACATTCATATCTCATTCGAAGGAATCCACAATTCCACCCTGTTGAATATGCATGCTTTTATAATTGATCCTTGAGTCAAATACATAGTCATTGATTAAAGTTTAGACAAAAACTTGTTGTCAGTTTTAGTATTTTGGGCTATAAAATGTGATCAAATTAAGAAGTTGAAAAAATATGCAGCATTAAAAGGATCCTACTGTCAGGTGGTAAGTTAATTGATGTCATTGGTACGAAAGTCACGAGCAAAAAGACAGTTGGCATTCAGCATTTAATGTGCACAAAGAATGGAAAGCGATGCCTACGTGATTTCAAATGACCATTGGAAGATATGGGCAGTGGCATGTTTAATCATAAGTTGCATTGCACAGATTTTCAAGTTCAGTTAAGTATATGTCAGGTAACTATAGAACTACTTGTCAGCATTCACGTAGATGTTTATTGCCGACATTGTTGGGGAGGATAATTAGTACTCAATGTTTCAGTGTAATTGTGTCCTGATGATTTTTAGTGGCCTGGCAGTTCTTTCTTAGAAATGATTATCTGATATAGCGTTCAGGTTTCATATTGGTGGACTATGACTTTAGAGTATTAATTGGGTGTTTCAGCATGGTCTGGGAAGATCAACTACCTTTAATTTAGTGAGAGAAAATTGGAGCCTTGCTGGATTCTTAAACTATATGTTGTGTACACTTGCCAGTTAACTCCCATTTCCATATATGGGAGAGTTCCAGTAACTTTGATTATATGTATGCTTTAGTTCAATCTTGAAATAAATCTTTTTCTCTGAACTGTTGAGATAGGCTATTTAGCCATAGCAATTGTTGTGCATCTATACTGTAAATGATTGTTTGGTTATTAAAAAGAAACATGGTTCTTTGATTTTTTTTTAAGGTGGACACTTGGTATTGGTCTGCTTATGAATAAATGCACCACTCTACAGGATAGCGTGGGTTCTTTCCAACTCGGGAAAATTTTGGTTAGAACTAGAGGGGCTTGAGATGGGGGCAAGGTCTTCTTACCTGCTGTTTTCTCAACCCCGCACCAGTCGTGCCACCCCACTATTATGACGAGCAGAGGATAAATTCGAGAGTCAAATTCTGCATTTTGTGGTTTCACAACTTATGTGGTTCTGGTCATTGTGTCAACAGTATTAACAGTCATATGTTTCTGGCCTACCACCTACAATTGCACAGGAAGCTAGGTGGGGAAAGCACCAAGTCAAAGGTTAGATTAAAGGAATAAAAATTAACTTGATGTTTTTGTCTCTTTTTCTTAAACAAATTTATGCCTGATTTTCATAATTTAGTTTCCACACCATTATTTAGTAAGCTCTTCAGTAATTATCAGTAGATATAGAACATAGAACATTACAGCGCAGTACAGGCCCTTCGGCCCTCGATGTTGCGCCGACCTGTGAAACCAATCTGAAGCCCATCTAACCTAAACTATTCCATTATCATCCAAATGTTTATCCAGTGACCATTTAAATGCCCTTAAAAGTTGGCGAGTCTACAACTTTTGCAAGCAGGGCATTCTACGCCCTTACTACTCTCTGAGTAAAGAACCTACCTCTGACATCTGTCCTATATCTATCACCCCTCAATTTAAAGCTATGTCCCCTCGTGCTAGCCACCACCATCTGAGGAAAAAGGCTCCCGCTGTCCACGCTATCTAATCCTCTGATCATCTTATACGTCTCTATTAAGTCACCTCTTAACCTTCTTCTCTCTAACGAAAACAGCATCAAGTCCCTCAGCCTTTCCTCATAAGACCTTCCCTCCATACCAGGCAACATCCTAGTAAATCTCCTCTGCACCCTTTCCAATGCTTCCACATCCTTCCTATAATGCGGTGACCAGAACTGTACGCAATGCTCCAAGTGCGGCCGCACCAGAGTTTTGATATGGTAAAATATCACAAGGAGGAAACTTTAAAAGAAAGAAAACACTAAGATGGAATGAATTTTAGATGAGTTACTGATCAGTTTTAAAAATTTGATGCATTTAGTTGGATAAAGCAATATGAACAAAGAATTCAAATGGTAAATCTGTTTCTGAGAACATGGTAGAATAAATAAATTGTATGGCTACCATATTTAATATATGATATATTTAATATAATGTGAGTCAGCACCACTTCGTAAGGTTAAGGCAGCCCTTAGTCTTGAGCGATCTGACTTTAGCTTGTGTGAGGAAGCCTCTATGAATCACTTACAAGATGTAAAACTAAATTAAGGATAGTAATGGTCCGGAAATTCTGTTGAGCTATGCTGAAGTTAGGACGTCAAAATTAACAAGGCGATCAAGGGTCATGGGGAGAAGGCCGGAGAGTGGGGTTGAGAAACACGTCAGCCATGATTGAATGGTAGAGCAGACTCAATGGGCCAAATAGCCTAATTCTGCTCCTATATCTCTGATCTTAAGGCCTAAAACGGTCAAACAATTTGATATTAAACTAAATATTATGATCTGTACATTAGCGAGTTTCTGAAGTGCAGTCATTCGTGTAATTTTCTACAGTGAGGGGTTCACCATCTGGGCTCTTAACATATGAAAAGATCATTCGAAAGGTGCCATTTTGCCAAATAGCTATCATTGAAACAAGGTGGCTGAACTTTTTGTTTAAATTGCCTGTCAACTTTTCTGTACTGCAAACAATTACCAGAATATTAAGGAGTGGTTAGTGTTCAAGTCGTCTTCGAGGGGAGTAACTAACAGTACTCTGCATTACTGATGTCCTTTGAGGCTTTTTGCTGAGTTCCTCCTTAATAAGGGAGCCTTTACATCAGAAAAGGTTGAAGTTTTTGGCTATTTATAATGGTGCTGTAGTCTGGATTCATTGTTAATGGTGCAAATACCGTAAAGTGGAAACCATCATTGCAAGTGAGTGAGGAAGAGGCCCAAAAAGGAAATGGATCAGGGTCAAGTTTAAGCCAATTATATTTTTTTTAATTCCACATTAGTTTGATTTATTTCAGGAAGTTCAGGTTGAAGTTAAAAGTGAGATTTCACATAAAACAAATGTACAAGCAAATTATATTTATAAATCTGAAGACATATTTGAGTATTTTTCCTGAATTTTCTTAGTTCTGCAAATCCTGAAAGTAAACGGAGTTTTTTTTGTCTGGGTTCAGCAATGGAGAGTTTCGCTGAAATTCTTGAGTAAAAAATTAATTAATAAGCTGTGCAACATGAATTATAATTAAGAGATTCTTTAAAAGCCAAGAAAATTTGCAGCAAGTTCAAAAGGTAAAGTGTGTAAAAGTAAAATATGATTTGCATTACTTTTACACAAGACATCTATATGTTTAAGGCTTCTAGAGTTAGGAGTTTATTCATTTCTGTGTTGGAGGTATTGACTTTGCATTCTGTTTCCAGGTCTGTATTTTGAATGCATTCTTCATTACTCTGGAGCATGTGCAGTCTTGGCACATCGGTAGAATCTCATTTCAAACTGCTTGAAATGTGCACATCAATGGAAAATAGTTTGTTTCCAAAGGAACATTTTAATGCCGTTTTGTACCTTGAGGTTTGCTTCTCTTCCTAGTAAAACCCAAGGTTTTTTATTACATCCTCTAGTCCTACAGATGAAAAGGATAAACACACTTGAAACATCTAATGTGCCGCTACTTCCTTTCCTGGAAGAAGGAAAAGTACTTTCCTAGCTTTGCTTCAGTCTAATCAGTAAATTAATTTTCATTAATATATCGGCCTTGTTGCAAAATTGCAAGGTGTAGAAGCACTGTGATGTTTTTACTTGATTAACTTTGGGAAACTCACTATTTTAGTTTTGTGAGTGTGTTATCAATAAACTTTGTAATACCCAAAGTTTATTAAAGTCACGTCCGGTTGAATTCTGATCACCTTTGGAGTGTGCACTGGGCTGGTTGATTATTTTTAACTTCTAACTGCTTCTGCCTTGGTGGAAAGCTGGACGACCTGGCAGAGAGCTTGCTCACCTGATTCCGTTTTCAGTGCTCCTATCCAAAACAGACAATTCAATGGCCTATATATAAATGGGCAAAAAAATGCAATGTACACACTAGTCTGTGTTTCTCAGCATTAAGCAGCCTAACCTCCAATATTTTGTTTTCTAAATCAAGACATTTTGCAGAGATATGATTATTTGTGCTGGTCCTGGCCCAGGCCCACACATCTCTTCAGTTCATTCTCCCTCCAAATTTACTGGTTGGCCAGCTCTGTGTAGTGGCCAAATAATAGAACTGCAGCAGAACACTGTTTGGTATCTGTTTCTTGCTAATAAAATTTACATGAAACCTGATTCTTGAACCTAGCTTTCTCATTCGTACTTCTGAGCTTGTGGCCTCTACCGACGTCGTTTGTTTTGGCCCTGCTTAAGTATCTCTCCTTGCATTCCTGCCAAGCACCTACCCTCACTTCCAACCTGCTAGACTTTAATGGTGTGTTTTTAGCTGCAAAAAATATGGTTTAAAGTAGTATTTAATATCCATTTGATGTTTGTTTGAAATAGGTCCCCCATACTGGACACAACCTAATAAGATGGAAAAGCAGTTGCATGCAGTTCCAGCAGCCAACACTGTAAAGTTCCGCTGTCCAGCAGCAGGAAACCCAAAGCCAACTATGCGATGGTTAAAAAATGGCCGAGAGTTCAAACCAGAATATCGAATGGGTTCATATAAGGTAAGGGTATTTTTCTCCAATAAATGATAATGCAACCTGCATAAATATAGAGCAAATTGAAAATTGAATAACCAGCCCTACATTACTTGCTGAAGAATCTCTGTAATCTAGCATCTAATACAGTTCTGTGGGCAATACAAAATCTTGGAAGTTACTACAGCAGCATATTACTTATCATTTGCTGACTGGTAATATAGAATGCTAGTGGAGGTTTGTGGTGTTTGTGACTTGGCTGGATTCAGTGCACTGATTGTTTCTGCCAAATATAACAATGGGACAGTGCAGGTTTACACTTATACTTGTTTGCCATTTAATTAAAGTAGACAACAATCTGCAGTTATAAAGTGTCTTTTACTGTGGATAAAATATCCCGAGTTACCTTGCTGTGTGTAATGGAAATGAATGCTTAGTCAAGAAGGAGGAATTAGAAGGGGTGACCAAAAGTCTGGTTAAGTTGCTTAGTTTCAGGGTAGAGTTTTAAAGGACAATAGGAGGGGGAAGAGGCTGAGAGTTTTGGAAGGGATGTTTCAGAATGTGAGAGTCCTAGGTGGCTGAAGGCACAGAGGCCAGTGATGTGAAAGGAAAGACAGCGCACAAGTCCCCGAGACAAAAAAAATTGATGGGGATCAAAATAAAAGATGAAAATGTTAATATTGAGGATGAGGGCCAGTGTCTAGAAACAAGAGCAAATGTAGAATAACGAGCACAAGAGTGATAGGGCAGGCATGATGGAGTGTGATGAGATGCAGACAGCAGGGACGGATTGAGGTTTATGTATAAGGGTGCATTGGGAGTAATTAGAGCCACAGTAGCTGGCCACCCATTTATCACCTGAAAGATAGCCTAAGCAAATGAAAATGTGTGTACTGACTGTTACCATAAGTTAAAGCCAGGTCCATATCAGGCCTTTTGTGGCAGTTAAATGAAGCCATGAAGAGTATACCGATTATCGAGCTGTTTTTCAGATCTTGTGACCATTTTAGGGTGAAGTTGAACATCACTCCCAATAAGCTTGGGAGCGAAGTGGTGACACAGTAGCTAGCACTGCTGCCTCACAGCGCCAGGGAGATTGGTTCAATTCCAACATTAGGTGACTGTGTGGAGTTCACACACTCTCCCCGTGTCTGTATGGGTTTCCTCTGGGCGCTCCAGTTTTCTCCCACAGACCAAAGATGTGCAGGTTAGGTGGATTGGCTGTGCTAAATCGCCCCATAGTATCTAGGGATGTACAGGCCAGGTGATTCAGCAATAGTAAATATGGGGTTACGGGGATAGGGTGGGTCTGGGTGGGATGCTCTCTGAACAGTCAGTGCAGACTTGATGGGCCGAATGGCCTCTTATCTGCACTGTAGGGATTCTGTGATTCTGGTTTGATTTTTATTTTTGACCTTCTCAAATGTCAAGATCCTGAAACCAAATATGAGTCTCCCATAACTGAACTGGGTTGTAATATAAGACAACAAGGTGCAGGGCTGGATGAACACAGCAGTACAGATATGATCATTGCATGTCACACCCTGCAGGGCCTGTCCTGTAATACGGAGCTAATCTTGCCAGACCTCTAAAATTTTGTCTGCGATATAGTTGGATCATTTTCAGGAAAGGCAGAAAGCACTCACTAAAAGGTCAGCTGCTTCTATACACACTGCCGAATTTCTCATTGGCTTAAGTGGAAGAAAAACTCAGGCAGAGCATTGTAAGTGGCAACCAGTCTGCTACTGCCCTATTTTTGGTCCTGCCAAAGTTGAGAATTCTCCCAAGTTTCAAAAGTATACTAATCTTCAATCATGAGTCATACGCAATACTTTACAAAGGTCTTCTGTTAATAGGGGTGCAGTGTACAGAATGAAGAGTCACTGCTGGTTGAGTTATATAGTGCAGTGTTGACTGTAGTTATGACACGACTGGCGCTTTTCAGTGAAGTGCCCAGATTATACTATCTGAATGAAAAAGACACGTTAGCATTAGCAATTATAATCTCTGCCAGTTTTGTACCTGTGCCAGAACTGTTTGGATTACGATGGATTCCTGGAAGCTATCCTGCAGTTGAGATTTTTACATGTGACCAACGTAAACACTGCAAAACAAGTAACTTTATTTATGAAAACAAATGGAGCTTATTTGCATTTTAAAACATTCTGTTTTATTGTCGGAGTACAGAGCATAGTGTGTGCCAAGTGTTCTGTGTGCACGATGGAGCCAGTCACTCAACAGTCATTGTCAAGTCAGTCATAAATCAGAAAAGGAGGGCACTAAGTGTCAAAATACTATACATGAGACAATCACAGAAGATGTTTAGTCTGGCCTGTATGAGCTAAACTTAGTCTGTTTTATTAGAAGGGAACGGTGGTGTGAAGTATTTCTTGTACAAACTGTGTGAAAAGAGTGTTTGGTTCTCAAAGTCCCCATGGACTTGAATCTAAATTGGAATTTGGTATCTAAAACTCACACGTAGTGATTCATTCAAGATGAAAAGGCACCTTTCATTTCTGGGGATATCGCAGTGTAGCTGTGGCAGCTTGGTCCCTATCTTTCAACACTTTGAAAATTGTTTTCACATAATGAGAAGCTGACAGAGTGGACCTCACACTATGAATGAGACATTGTGTGAAAAACACAAGTTCAGCCTTCTGTCCTCCCACTGATGCTTTTACCATAAAGTTCCTGAATAAAATGTGAAAAGGTACATAAAAAATGTGCAGTTGATTTTGTTACCATGTGGTCTTGTAGTTTGTCTGATATAGAGTTCAGAACAATTGTTTGATTTCAATTTCTTCCACTGAGGCTGACACAACATCTGAAATGAGCAAAATGGCATATTTTGTGCCATATTGTACTAATTTTATTTGTGCCCCACTTGCCTCCCTCCCCTTTGATTACACTCAATAAAAACTGAATTTTAGTTCCTATGTCCCAGTGCAGTTATTGGACTGAATAATGGATTGGGACACTGGAAGAAACCACACCAGAAACTGCTTTCATGCATCCTGTTCAAGTAAAGAAAGTGGACTCCACAACCAGGAGGACCACTGGAGGTATTCAAGGCTCCAAGGATGAGTGGGTGCTGTCACCTATAGGTGGGAGACCACGAGTGTACCTTTTAAGATGGATGCACTTCTGAAGACTTTGAAATCATTCAGATTGTATTTTAGTCACTGCTGACAGGCCATCATTGTGGAGAGGAAGCCCTTTCGTAGGATGCTGTCAAGCCATAACTGTAGCTTTCCAATGGGCTACTTTACAGAAAGTGCATCTGCTCGCTCTCCTACCCAAACTGCCATAATCTGCCTATCCTCAAAGCCCTAATGGTATTAACGCCAGACTATTAATCCAAAAACCCGGGTGACGTTCTGGGGACCCAGGTTCGAATCCCACTATGACAGATGGTGGAATTTGAATTCCAAAAAACATCTGGAATTGAGAGTCTAATGATGACCATGAATCCATTGATTGTCAGAAAACCCCATCTTGATCACGAATGTCCTTTATGGAAGGAAACTGCCATCCTTACCTGGTCTGGCCTTTGTGATTCCAGGCCCACGGCAATGTGGTTGACTCTTAACTGCCCATTTGTTAATTAGGGCTGGGCGCCTAGCCAGCGACACCCATTTCCCATAAATGAATTTAAAAAACTTGATGCTGTGCTCTACAAAGGGATGTTCTACTGATGAATAGTTACGCTGCTCTATTACTTTCTACTGAAACACAATATGCTCTGCCACTATATGCCACTCAATTCCAGCTCTTGAACTTGTGCATGCGAAAATATTTGAAGTATTTATCAAAAGAGTTAACATATGCAACACCTCCCCCCACCCCCAGAATACAGGTTTTACATAACACTTTCCATATTGACCGTTAGGCATGTTTAGACACACTGGTGTGAGAACAATATAAATGATGAACATTGAATCATACAAACATGGCATATACCTGGTTTGTGTAGAGGCGTTGGATTCCGTCTGTTCCTAGGAGCACTTCTTAAGATAAAAGAACAATTCTATTAATTTCTATGCTCATTTCTATGTGTATTCCAGTCAAAAAAAGGAATAAGATGAGTGTGATTATTTTAACCAGCCAGAATTGTTAACTATTGCTAAGGTTATATGTTATACATGCCAAATATACGAGTTAGTGAGAGACTGAAGCACAGTGGTGTCACCACATGATGGCTACACTGATCGAAAGTATTGTCTTCTGTTGGAGTTGATTGGACTGAGAATGATTCGTTCTTGGGGAACATTTGTTCTAGCGATATCTGTGCATCCAGTACTTCTAACAGTATTGCACAAGGCCAAGATGACGCGTAGGTTGAGATAAAAGTACACCTCAGACAACTTAAATTTCATTGTATTGCAACATTTTTTCTTTCATTCTTTTACTGATGTGGGCATCGCTGTCTGGGCAAGCATTTATTGCCAACCACTGGTTACCTTTCAGAAGGTGGTGGTGAGCTGCCTTCTTGAACAACTGCAGTCCATTTGATCTATGTGCATCCACAATGCCATTAGGGAAGAAGTTCCAGGATTTTGACCCATTGACAGTGAAGGAATGATGATGTATTTCCAAATCTGGGTGGTCAATAGCTTCAAAGGGAACTTGTAGGTGGTGGAGTTCCCATGTATCTGCTGCCCTTGACCTTCTAGATTGTCGTGGCTGTTGGTTTGGAAGGTACTGTCTAAAAAGTTTTGGTGAATTTCTGCAACATGTCTTGTAGATACTGCTGCTACTGAGTGTTGATGGTTGAGGGACTGAATGGCAGCACATCCACAAACAATCAAGTGCTCTGCTTTGCCCAGGTGGTATCAAGTTTCTTGAGTGTTGCTAGAACTGCACTGATCCAGGCAAGTGGGGAGTATTCCATCACACTCCTGATTTGAGTCTTGTAGCTAGTAGACAGGCTTTAGGGAGTCAGGAGGTGAATTACTCACTGCAAGACTCCTACGCTCTGACCTTATCAGTACTATGTGGAGCTGGAAGAACACAGCAGATCAGGCAGCATTGGAAGAGCAGGAAAGTCGACATTTCAGGTCAGGACCCTTCATCAGGACTAGGGAGGGGGAAGGGAGCTGGGAAATAAATGAGGGAGGGGGGGGGGGGGGGGGGGGTGAGGGTCGGTGGGATGGTGATAGGTGGATGCAGGTATGGAGCAGTGAGGTTTGGTCAGTGGGAAAGGTGGGATGGATAAATGGGAAAGAAGATTGACATGTTATGTCAATTCAAAGAGGTGGAGATGAGAGGGAGAGTTGGACATGGGATGAGGCCGGGGGTGGGGAGATTTTGAAACTGGTGAATTCTATGTTTAGGCCATCGGGCTGTAGGCTCCCGAGGCGGAATATGAGGTGTTGTTCCTCCAGTTTGCATGTGGTATCATTGTGGCACTGGAGAAGGTCCAGGATGGACATGTCACCCAGGGAGTGGGAGGGGGAGTTAAAATGGCTGGAACTGGAAGGTATTGTTGATTATAGTGTACAGAGTGCAGATGCTCCACGAATTGGTCACCGATTCTGTGCTTGGTCTCACCAATGTTGAGGAGGCCACAACGGGGGCAACGGATGCAGTAGACCAGGTTGGAGGATGTACAGGTGAACCGCTGTCGGATTTGGAAAGTTTGTCTTGGGCCTTGGATGGAGGTGAAAAGGGAGGTGTAGGGGCAGGTGTAACACCTCTTGTGGTTGCAGGGAAAAGTGTCAGTTGCGGTGGGCTTGGTGGGGACTATGGAGTGGATGAGGGAGTTGTGGAGTGAGTGGTCCCAACGAAAGGCAGATAGGGGTGGGGAGGGAAATATCTCTTTGGTGGTGGGGTGGGATTGCAGGTGCCAGAGGATGGTACACTGGATGCAGAGGTTGGTGAGGTGGTATGTGACTTAACCTTGTAGCCACAGTACCTATATGACTAATCCAATTCAGCCTTCAGTCAATTGTACCCCCCTCCCCCACCCAAGGATGTCGATAGTCGGCGATTCAGTGATGGTGATATCATTGAATTTCAAAGGACAGTGCCTCGATTCTCCCTTTTTGAAGCTGGCCATCGCCTGACGCTTGTGTAGTGCGAAGGTTCCTTGCCACTTGTTAGCCCAAGCCTAGATATTGTCCAGGTCTTGCTGCATTTGGGCATGGACTGCTTCAGTATCTGAGGAGTCATGAATGGCACTGAAAATTGTGCAATCATCGGAGAACATCCCCATTTTTGATTTTATGATGGAGATAAGGTCATTCATGAAGCAACTGAGGATTGTTGGGTCTGGGACACTAACCTGAGGGAACTCCTGCAGAGATATCCTTAAATTTTGAACAGTGCTGGCTGGGATAAAGTCTGAATAAAATTTAGATTTTTTGTTGGATTAAAATTTTGCATAATTATGTCTTTCTGAAACAAAACTCATTCTGTTTCTGGCAGATTCGGCCTCAGCATTGGAGCCTTATTATGGAAAGTGCTGTTCCATCTGATAAAGGGAACTATACATGTGTGATAGAAAATATCTATGGGTCCATAAATCACACCTATCACTTAGATGTAGTCGGTAAGTTGACATTTAAACACAAGACTTGGAAGAAAATGATTTTGCGCGTAAGAATCTGTGGCACCTAGTGATATTTTATCAATAAGAACAATATGAAATAATGTACTGTCAGTGAGAAATAGCATATGAATGAATTATTCAGTACAGGGTTCTACGATGGAATATTACTGTGCTCTGCTGCTTTTGATTACTCGAGCCTAATACAATATGAAGCGCATTTTGATTGTAACATGTGCAGTCAGCACAATGACTTGGTTCTGAAGAAGGGTCATTAGACTCAATGTTAATTCTGGTTTCTCTCCTTAGATCCTGCCAGACCCACTGAGTTTCTCCAGCGATTTTAGTTTTTGTTTGCTGCACAATAATTAAATCTTATGTTGTTCTAATTTGTAGAAAATTTGAGATTTATTTTATGTGCAAGCTTTCTTTACAAGAAACTCTGAAGGCCTGACTGACTAACAAGTGCCATTACAGCTATGTTTTCTTTCATCAACAAGGGGGCAAAAAAACCCTGAGCTAAGCGTTTTCAGTCATAGAATCATAGGATCCATACATGCAGAAAGAGACCATTCGGCCCATCGAGTGCACCAATCCTCCAAAAACCATCCCACCCAGACCCCCACCTATCCCCATAACTCCACCTTTTCCACATTAGACACTCGGGGTAATTTACCATGGCCAATCCATCTAACCTGCACATCTTTGGACTGCGGGATGAAACCGGAGCACCTGGTGAAAACCCAGGCAGACACGGAGAGAATGTGCAAACTCCATACAGACAGTCGCCCGAGGCTGGAATCAAACACAGGTCCATGGCACTGTCAGGCAGTCATACGATAGAGTGTTACACAGACGTGTTGAGGCTATGTTAAGGACAAATTGCTATAAATTGACAGTTTATCCATCACAGTTCAAGGAACACCTTAAATTTCTAAGTGATGATATACACCAGAGATTAATGAAGCCAATCACTGTTCCTATTCCCAAGAGATACAGTTAACCTATTTTAAAACAAAATCACTGTACTATTTATTTTTGTTGCTGCACCATAGACATCTTATAAAGTCCAAATAAAGCCTGGATACTGAAAATTCCTTCTGAGAATTTTGTAATTGCTGAAAATTGAGAGAAGCACAATAAACTTCAACTTAAAGAACAATCTTAACTAATTAACGCATCCTACATAATAAAAGGATTTTCAGTAGTTCCCATGCTTTTAGCTGTATTTTTTTCCCATGTAGTCTATGGTCCATTTAGAAGGGAGAAAGAAACGCATCATTCAACAGAAAAGGTAGTGAAGTACATGGGCAGTTACCTAATGCTAAAAATTCTCACAAGAAAGATTTATCGTTGCTTTGCACAAATCACCCAAACAATAACCTTTTTCTTTATTCCCAAAACATAATTTATAGGTTGAACAATTGCTGTTATAAGATACTTTTGTGAGATATGTAAACAGTTGTGGCCTGCCAAATAATGACTTCACAATGTGTATTCATCAGTGGTAGAGAAACCATAAATAGAATGATTCTGAGCTAAAATAAGTCATTTTCAATGGCAGGGTTTGATACAGCTCTACTTTGGTTAGATTGTTCAAGAGTACAGCAACATGAAAGCTATACGATTAAGTGCTTTATCATGATAAGGGTTTCATTGCAAAGAACTTTAGATTTCATATGCATAAACACATATGTATATATACTGAGAGGTTATGATTTTTTTTTTGGGAAATGTGCGTGGAGACGAGTTATAACTAGATTGCAGAGGTCAGTAAAGTTTTATTTGTGGACGGTTATTCCGGATTTGTCTGTCCAAAAGTACTGTAAATTATATATTATACATCCTCAGTTAGCTATCTTATCTAGCATTTATCTAATTCATCTCCTAGTTCCTTTTATGCTTTTTTGTCTGTTCTTTTCAAGTAACGGAAGTGAGTTAGTGATATGTTACATGCAGTATTTTTGTTTGCAGGAAATGTGTTGAGAAGATTGTAACTGCTTAAACGTATTCTATCAAATATGAATTACTTAGATTTGCAAAAGCAGTTTGTGGAGGTTTTCAGACTTAACACGGCTAACAGAGTAGCTTGGAGATATTAGTTTGAATCTGTCCAGTTTTGCTTCTGCCTGATTGACTATTGAGCGTTTGCCAGTTGAATACTACTGTCTGGAATCCTGAACTAGTGCACACCCATCATTCAACTGTCATGCAAAACAAACTATGTGCAAAATCATTATTGGCATTCAAGTGAACTTTTGATTTATTTTGTTCTCTTTTTGTATGCATTTGATACTTGGATCCTTGTAACTGTCAGGAGTTGTAGTCCAACATATATTTGTGTTAAATTCACTTGAAAGACATCTAGAAGTTTAATGTGACATATCACCAAACGTACAACGTAAATATTTAACTAAGAGCCCTATATTTGTATGACAATTCAGATAAGTGGAACAATTAACCAGAATTGACAACTAACTCAGTGGTTCAGCCAACTTTCCCATACAGTGAAGGCTCTTGGGTGACTAAGTTGGTAGGGTCATGCTGTTGATTCAAACCAAGTTGCCAGTTGCTCAAAATTGATGAACAAGTCTATCCAACAGTTTAATTGGAAAATGATTTGAACCCCCAACCAGATAACAAGTTCGCCATCATTCCCAACAGTTTGACTTGGGTGAATTCTTGGCAGTTTTTCAGGCTTCTAAAGCACTGTCCATCTGAAGAGAGAACCATGTTACTGTGACAGGCATGCATGGTTGGTGGGATGTTGTTGCAGTGAGGAATGCTGAGATGAGGGGGTTTGCAGATTTAGTGCAGGTTAACCATCAGAGTTTCATTGTGAAGTTGATAATGGCTAGGGAGAGATATGCACATTGGAAACAGACAGAGAACTGACTGAGAAGTTGCAGAACAAATCCAGAAAAAAATTAAATGGAAAGTATAGCAGAGAAAAGTATTGCAGTTCTCATAATTCTGATATCTAGTCAAAGATGTTTGATCTCAGTTCACTCCCTCTCCTGAAGCTGTTTTGGCTGCATTGCCATTTTTGATTAATGTAAACTGTTGGCATAATGATTAAAGTTCCAAATTTGAAGTTGCCTTTGGCAGCAAATCAAGTACTGACCAAACCTTGATTCAATGATGTAATATTCAATGAACAAAGATTCTTCATACATAAGTCACTTTTGAACTGCTAGCTAAAAGTTTTTTTTTCATTTTTACTAATCACCAGTAAACATTTCAATTCATCATTTCATTTTGGTGGAGATTTACGTTTGATGGACTGTTTTATATGGAAAATAAGAAAAATTCCAGGCACAGTATAAAGAATGTTAAAATAGGTTTCTCCTGATAATGTAGAGACCAAATACTTATTCAAAATTGGTGATCTCAGCTGTTGGTTACAAGTAGATTCCAAAGCAAACCTCAAAGGCTCAACTGATGAAATGAAGAAATAATGTGATCCTGAACAAATAATATGATCCTAATTAAGTTATTAATACTTTATTGAGTTTGGATGCATGTTTCATAACTTTTGTTTGGAAGTGATGTAGTTGTAGGAGTAAATGGACCTTAGAGACAGGTTGTGTTAACGGGAGTTCTAACCTACTTGTTTACATCTCTTTTAGAAGCTACAATGTTCAATTATATTTCGGTACTAATGCACCAATGAGAAATTTCCAGAGCGCACTCTTAATCAGTTTCTATGTCTACCCTATAACACGTCCTTTGTTTTAGGGGCAGGGGTGCATGAGGCCTAGAGTGAGCCACCAATCTTCGACCATTGGTCCCCTTATGTGGTACTTTCTTGAGACTTGGTAAGAACAGCTCTGGGATAAGGAGGCATGGGGAAGCCCCCTACATAACTCAGTTTGTGTGCAAAAGGTCTGGAGGTGCCTGAATTGCTGATTGGCCCAACTCTTCCACGCCTTGACCCAAAATCTGTCCAATAATGCTCACTTTGCAGGCCTTGCCATCACAGTTGCCATTTCCTTTTTCCCCTCCTGCCCTGTCCCTGTTGTGAGGCCCTGTACCAACTGTTGCCGTGGGCTCAGGCACTACTAGTAGTACCACAAGTGGCCTGCCTTCTAGGTGGCAGTGCTGGGACCACAGGTTCCAGCCAGTCCGATTGGCCAGCAGCTCTGAGGCAGCATTTTTGTGCAGGTGAGGGTGGAATTCCTGTGTCTGGTCACAGTAGAAGTGGAGCTGCTGGCAGGGAAGGAAACCGCCATCTGAAAAGACTGAGCCCCAGATAATTTTATAGTTGATTGGAGGCTGGTATCTAAATGTCTCTGGTGCAGACCAACTGGCTTCGGTTGTGCCAATGCAAATCAGTGATTTCATCCAATTCTCCACAACGAAAGCTGTTGAGCCACTTTTCAAAATGGAGGTAAATGTAAATATAGGAAAGTTTAGAGATAGTAGGAACTGCCGACGTTGGAGAATCTGAGATAACAAGGTGTAGAGCTGGATGAACACTGCAGGCCAAGCAGCATCAGAGGAGCAGGAAAGCTGACATTTCGGGTCTAGACCCTTCTTCAGAAATGGGGGAGGGGAAGGGGATTCTGAAATAAATAGGGAGAGAGGTGGAGGTAGATAGAAGATGGATAAAGGAGAAGACAGGTGGAGAGGATATAGGAAAGTTTAAATGTGTTAATAAACCAGTCCACGATCAAAACCCATCCCTGTAACACCTAATGTTTCTATTACCATATTTGGTCGCATTTTCAACATCATGGTTTTGAAGATTATTCCAAACTTCTATCACTCTTTAAGTAAAAATATTCTGAGCATGTATTTGTGTATTTCATTTACATTCTTTGGTTTTAATCTCTACTGTTTAAAAATTTATATGTCTTGCATCCCTCTATAAGCCATACTCTGTTTTTACTGATAAAGTTGATCACTGATATTTCCACATAGCTCTACTCCTCTATGCTTTAAGTCTATGGTTCCTATTCTCTGTTTCTGTCTTTTTAACATTTATGTTCCCTGGATGCAGC